GGCCCCCACCACCAGGCACTGCGAAGGGAATGGGCGGCATGAAGGGGACAGGTACCCCCCCCCCAAGAAGCAGGGGTTTGGATAAATCCCCAGGGAGCTCAGCACCACCACAGGCGGCATCTCCCTCCTTCCCCGGGTCAGGATCTGGCCCTCCACACTATTCCCCTTTTCCCCCAGGTGCAAGCACTGCTTCTCCCTGCAAAGCGGGGGGTCCTGGGGGGTGCCCCCCACCTCCCCGGCTGCCTGAACCTTGCCTTCGCACGGGGCAATGGCAGCAATTAAAGCGCTCAGCGAGATAAGGCGCACACGTCTCCTGCCTGCTGCAGCCCGGAAACGGGGAGATTTCACCAGCAACAGGCTCAAAACCAGGACTCGGGTTTGATCTCCTGCCAGCCCCTGCACAGGGCTGGGCGGACGACGGGGCACCAGCAGTGGGGACAAAAGCCATCAGCTCTGGGACAGGGGGACAGAAATAGGGTCCCCCAGCCCCAGGGGGACATCCTACCCCGGCATGCTCCTGTCCCCCAGAAAGGGCTCGGCAGGTCCCTCTGCCCCTTTGCAGGCCCCCATGGGATGTCCCCAGCGAGAAACAGGCAGAAGGAGGAAGGACGCCACTGGCTGGGCGGCACCGAGGTGGCATCACACCGTGGGGAGGGGAGCGGTGCTAATCAACACCCTGTCCCATTAAACCCCATCAACGTCCCGCCCGGCACATCCCACATCCTCCCAGGGTGGGGGCCAGGGTGGCCCAAGGGATGCTCTCACCCCGGGGACAAGGATGCAGGGCAAGGAAAGACCCAAACCCCGCGCCCCGTGCCCCCAGTACCTTGGTGCTGGCACAGGCTGTGCCCTGGTCGTAGTCCTTGTGCCCGGCTTTCTTATCCAGCTTGCTCCACAGGGCCTTGGCGCTCCAGTAGTTGAGGGCAGCCTTGAGGCCATGGTAGAGCTGCAGCCCACTGCCCTGCAGCCCCAGCTGCTGGCACAGCTCCCTGAAGCAGCCCAGCACCTCCTGGCACTCCCCGGCACGCAGGAACCTCTCGAAGACGGCATGGGCCGGGTTGCCCGGCTCGTCGGCCGGCACGCTCATCCTGCTTCACCCGGCAGCCTGGCGAGGGAAGGCAGAGATAAGGGGGGGGGGG